GGGAGCAGCTGAACCAGCCGCTCCACACCAAATCTGAACGAGACATTTAACAGAGGTGGGACCCTCATACAGTCCTCCCAGGCCTGAGGAAACAAAGATACCACCTCCAGCTGGGAGAGCTAATGAACCGCACAGCGCTGGAAGCGGGCAGAGCTCTGGAGTAGCACCACTGCAGCCTTCTTTCCATGCTTCTCCCAGGGCATCTGCTACTGGTTGCTGCCAGCCAGAGTATCCTGGGCTGGGCAGACTTTGTCAGACCCAGGATAGTCTCTGATGTGTGCTTATCTCATCTACCATTAACGAGAAGGAAGAATTCCCTCCCAGGAGGGTGATGAGCCCTGGGACAGGGCAGCGGGGAGGTGGGGTCTCCATCTTTGTGGGTTTCCAGACATAAGCCATGTGAAGCCACAATCTCCCTGGGTGAGATCTGCTGTGAGCTGGGGATGGACTAGAGAACTGCTGAGCCACTGGCTGTGCTGGGGTCCCGTGACAAGAAAGATGCGGCCGTTTAGCAACACGGAGCCATGGCACACAACTTTTATCTCCTGTTTCTTCCAAGAGTCTGGTAATTTTACAAAGTAAACACATTTTGATGACAAAGTCTTTGCCTTGAATAGGGAAGCGAAGACACTTCCTAGCTCATGATTTGCAAATGGTTGTCAACTACAGAGGAAAAAAATCAGAAAGCAGATGCCTTGAGCTGCCCTGGGCTTTCACAAAAACTCCACGTGCCTGGAAAACAGTGAAGCAGCAAACAGAAAAGTAAAACAATTTGTCTGCAGGCACTACATCCAGCAGCACATCGCTCGGGGGCGGGGGGGGGAGTTACACATCTAACAACAGGAGACAGAGAGGTTTCTCACAAACGGATCATTCAGGATCTCTTGAAAAGATAAGCAGAACTGTCCTTTGGGTGAGTGAAAGTAAAACATGGGCAAAGGAACTCAGCAATGAGGTAGACCAGGCTGTCCTCACATCTGTTTGAATCTCCCAAATACACCAAGGAGGAGGGGAGGCAGCAACATATTCCCAGCATCATGCAAAAAACATATTATCTGGCAAAAAGCCAGCAGACCACCACAGCTGAGAAATGTGCGGAGAAAAGAAAAAAATGAGTCAGGCTGGAAAACAAAGCAATGCTGAAGAGGGGCGGGGGGGGGGGG